CACCTCTCTCTATTTCTTGGCTACAAGTTAGCAACATAAAAAGGGGTAAGATTCGACCTAAAACGAAACAATTTGTGCTCCATTGGATGGGATTTACTCACAATTTTTCCTTGCGATGGTTTTCTGAACTTAGAAAAAAGGCGGAAGGAAAAGTTTTCAGTTCATTTTAAGTACTGCTGGGCATTTCATGCCTGGAAATAAAAGAGAGTAGAGCGTATCAATTTAGGTGTAAGAGGCAAACAGTTGTTGTCTCCAAGAATAGTTACAGTTTTTTTGCAAAACGTGCAAAATGAATGGAGGGTGTATTCGCTGCTAAAGACACATATGAGGAAATCAAAAACCTAGGAGATACACAACTTCAAACTCACTGATCTCTTATGGAAATACAAGTACATGTGGAGTTTTTTCTGGTTTGGGGAATGGTGTTAGGGACAGAGGATTGTGCTGGCTATCGTGCGTGTCCATAGATAGATGTAGGAGCACTGACATAGAAGCAGACTTGTGTAAGGAAGGACGAAACTTAACACAGGTCCGTGGAGGAAGGTTGTCAAGTTTGTTCCTCGTTGCCACATTTTTCTCACTCTGCAGTAGCACAATCATAACTCTCCAGACTTTATCTACCTTGTAGATGAGTAGAAGAAGTGTCGCAAGTTCAATTTATCGACAACTTTATGCAGGTATGGTAGGGAAAGTATCCCAGATAGTTCACGTTTAGTGCCGCTTTAGTTGTTAACAGATTCAATTTTAGCCCTTCTGTTTGGGATCATCACTGATTGTCCGGCACGGTGAGGTTAATTACCCAGCAGTGGAAATCAGGATAGATGCAATTTAGGATCGCGTTTGCTTTCTGCTAGCATCAATGTAGAGGAATGGCAGCCTTAGCAAAACCTTGAACAAAACGCAGGTAGAAAGTTGCCGAACCTAGGAAACTGCAGAGCCCCATCTAGTTGAGCGGTGTAGGCCAGGTCTTCACTTGTTTTGTACGGTCTTTGATGACTGTCTTCCCATTTGACGCAACTCTATGTCCTAGGAAGTTGAATTAACGCCTTAGGAAACGACATTTCTTCGGGCTTATGGTTAACCCTGCATCATATAGGTAATTCAACAATGGTTTCAGTCTA